AGCTGAAAAAATTGTTGATCCAACAAATGGCAGGCCAATGATGATTTATTTCAGGTGGCATAAGTTGGAAGACATGAATCAGCACATTGCACAATTGAAACTTGAAAGTCCAAACAAGATTATTCTGAAGCAATATCAATCTGATTTCTTCTGTCAAATAGTAATCAGATTTCAAACTAATTAATACACGAGATTCTAAAAACAATATAAGCCATTATTCACAGAGAGTTCTAAGAGAGGCAGAGAAAAAACACACATACTTGATACCAGAAATTTTGATATAAAATTTAGAGAAAGATTATGTGTAACAAAAGGCAAGTAGTATCTTTCAGTTTCTGGGTCAGTTTTGAAATTGTGGAGTGCCAACATTTTATATTGTTCATTGTTCATCACAAATCCTATAGTCGATCCACAACTGTGGACAAAAAACTAGAATGTTATGACAAACGCATACAACAACAAGGAATTGATAAAGAAGTTAAGTTGATTCTATATCCTACTAGGATTGATGTGCACACGATCCTTTTGAACTTAAAAATAATCAATTAAAATAGTTGGAATGTCGTTGATGTTAGTAAGTAAAACCCACATTCATTCTTGAAGGCTATTACAGAGTGTCCAGGACGATTTAATTGCAGTCCTTTAGTCCATCAACACTAAGTTGCCTGTAGAACTGGGGAAAGAAAACTAGAATGTTAAACACATGCAACAAGAAGGCCATTGAAAAGAGCTATACTTGATGAATTCTCATACTTTGTTTGATGTGGATGTGTGGTATCCATTTCATCCACTATGCAGCGGAGTGTTCACCGAAGATTCTACGTACCATCTGAGGCAGAATCGAAGCATCACTATCAACCTTCAGTTGAAGAAAGTTCACACATCAATCAATGTCAGAACACAAATATGCACTTCAGTAGATGTTTTATGGGTACCAAATACATAATCAGCTCTAAGATCAATAGCTGTATTTTGGAATTCTGCAAACAGGTATGTAAGTAATCTATAAAATGCAATCCAATCTAAGTGAAAGCATCACAACGTGCTCTGAAACTTGCACACAGAAATGATTGACAAGTAATCAAAGCGATGGGTTCTTGTAAAAGTATACATATCCACACCACACTATCAAGTTTGCGCAAGCATCAAACGGAAGGGATCTAGTGAAAGAAACTTCTTGCAGTAAGAAAATAGCGTTCCATCATCCACAGTGAGACCAACATCGATAACATTTTCTGCTTCATCAAACATCGAGTATGGAATCAAATATAAATAATAATAATAAAACAAAATTAAGGAAGAGCTCAAATACCTCATATTCTATGCCCAGCTCAATTTTTCCTCCTTTACATAGCGACCGTCCTTTTGAATGTAGCATCCATCAATTACAATATTTGGAATGTGTTTGATGTTAGGCCAGTCCACACCCTCCTTCCCTTCTCTTAATCTTCCACTCAACTCTTCAGTGCACTCGTTGATAATTAATTCTTGCAAAGAGGGAAGGTAGGGTATCCCTTGAGATTCAGATTCAGATAGAGAATTTAATTCTCTGCATCCAATGATCCATAATATCTGAAGAGAATGCATCCCCTGATCAGGTAGATGCAGAGCCTTCAATCTTGGGCAATAAAAAATATATAGCTGTTGAAGAGAAGAGAGATTTTGCAGCACATCTTCTGAGAGATAATCCATATCCTCAATATCATCAATTCTGAGTTTCTTCAATTTGGAGAGAGGACGGATAAATGAAGAAGAAGAAGAAGAAGAAGAAGAGACTGATGATGTTGATTTCCAACCTCTCATCTTCATTGTCTGTTGTAATGGCACTGAGCTGGTCGACCAAAAATATAGCTTATCTAGAGTTGGAAACAATGGCATTGAAGACAGTTTAGGACAATTCTCTATTCTCAAGTAAGAAAGACGTGGAAAAGAGAGCATCATCAACTCTTCTTCTGTTGTGGTTGTTGACTCATCACTATCATCATTAATCTCATCACTCTTCTTCCACCATCCCTTTAGACTAAGACAATATTGTATACTGAGTTTCTTTAAGGATGGGAAAAACGTGGACACTCCTCTTCCTGTAACCCCCTCGCTATCTATGTACTCCAGATTACGTAAATCGACAATAATCAATTCTTCAAGAGAAGGGATTCCATCTAAGGGAGGGATATGCTTAAGTCTTCTACAATCTTTCAGATCAATCTTAACAAGATTTGTGAGATGTGAAAGCCAACTTGGCAACCTCATACCTCCATAATTTCTAACCATCAAATGTTGAAGATTCGAGTATGGCTGAAGGCTTTCCAACATTTTATCACACAAATCAATATCAATGTCTAAATCACTATTCCACACAATATCAACATCAATATCAATGGTCAACGACTGAAGATATTGTTTCTCTATCAATTGAGCTCCCTCAAATTCTAATATACAAGAATTCCTCTCATATCCCTGAACTATTATTTCAAGGCTCCCTCTCAATTCATTCAAACTACCCAACTCATCCAATCCACCAACCATCTTGGATCCAGGACTCTTTTCTCCAACCACAAAACATGACAACGTCTGGAGACAAGTTAATTTCCCAATCCCACTAGGCATATACTCCAAATTGTAACATAAATCTCTATCAAGAGAGCAACCAACATCAAGATGCCTAAGATTAATCAGCTTATTAATATCTCTTGGTAGTGCTTTAAGGTTAAGGCACCAATTAAGCTTAAGCACTTGCAAATTTATTAGATTGGTAACAGAATTAGGAAGTGCCTCCATCTCATTATTCGAAAGATCAAGATATTTAAGGTGCTTGAACTTTTCAATGGAACGAGACACTTTCTTAATTCCTAAAACCTTGCAAGTCAAGCACATGTAAACGCCTAAAGTCTCGACAAATTGACTCCCATGCCCCCTCATTCCATTTTCCACCTATCATCATAAGTGTTCTTAAACGTTTTGCACTGGGCGAGTGGATTGGAATTTGTTTTGACAAATACAATTCCATGTCAAATGACACATGTCGAGTCAAATCACTACTCCTATTTCCTTCGCAATCTACTTTGATGCTCTCAAAACCAGCGACTGTCGTTGCAAGGTCATGCATAAAATCATGCATTTTGCAACTTTGTATGTTACCTAAATCATCCTTTTCCACTTCGTGGAAGAATGACCTCCACACTAAATTCTCAAAGCACCTAAGACCAGCAATTTCAAGACTCCAACCACCTGAAGAGCTAATGAACCCTTGTGCAATCCAAAATTGAATCAATGATTTTACATCAATCTCATGACCTTTTGGAAATAAGCTACAGTATGCAAAACAATGCTTCATATGTGATGGGAGAGGATCATAGCTTAGCATAAGGGTTTTTATGATGTTATCATTACTAATGCTACCTGGAAGTTCATTTACAATAAAGGGCAACCACTGGGCTCTATCTTTCAAAGACATGAGCCTAGCAATTGACTTTATGACCAAAGGAACTCCACAGCACCTCTTTACAATCTCTCTTCTAATCGCTTCATTACCTACGTGATTTGAATTTTGGCTTTCAGGAAAGGCCTTTTTCACAAAAAGATCCCAGGAGGCATCTTCTGAAATGCCTTGTAAAACATGTGGTGGTATTGTGCTTGTGAATTTTGCGATTACAAGAGAACGTGTGGTTACCGCTATCTTACTTCCTACTGCATCACGCGGTAACAACTTCTTCAAACTATCCCATTTTTCACCATCTAGACCTTCCTCACCATCCCACACATCATCTAACACGAGAAGATACTTCTTTTTCTCGATTTTCATTTCAAGCTCATTTTTCAAATCCTCTAACTCATCAGAATCTCTACTACCTACAACCTGTTTGAGAATCTTTTTGACATCTAAACCTCCTGAGACACTGACCCAGAGTTTCAGACCAAAGTACACATTAACTTGCTCATCATTGAAAACATGTTGAGCAAGTGTGGTCTTCCCCAACCCACCTATTCCAACTACTGAGATGACAGAAACATTTTGTTCATGGTTGGAATTGAGCAGAAAAGTTTTAAGTGCCACTTTATCACTTTCTCTCCCAACTATAACTTCAGGCTCAGAGGAAGAAGTTTGCTCCCTGACCTTAGTCAAAGAAGCTTTCTCCTCATCACGAAGCTCAAAGTTGAATTGTTTACTGTCAGCATCGATGTCAGCTAGTCTCTCCCTAAGTGCTTTAACTTTATGACCCATCCGCAAACCATAAACAAATTGGTTTGATTTTGAGAAGAAAACACTCACCTCCCTTGATAATTTGTTCCCATGCACCAACTGTTTCCGCTGAACTTCTGTCGAGAAGTCATCCAGCAAATCTTCTGCATCATATACCGCTCCTTGCAGCTTCCTCAGCCAGTCTTTGACTTGATTGTTTTGTTTTCGTGCCTGCTCTGCAGCGTCATCCAGCACAGCCTTGATTCTGGTAACTGTGCCCTCGAGCTTGCGTAGCTGATCTTTGACACCACACCAGAGAGCAACCTCCTGAGCAGCTAGGGAGCCCAGTTTCTTTATTAATTCCTCAGCGACACTAAAGAGCACACCTTCAGCCATTTTTTCTTAGTGAGTAGAAAAAAGTAGGTGGAGGGAAACAGACAAAGAAGGGAAGAAAAAAGAAAAGAATGACAAGGTGGTGTTAGGGGTTTTTACTTGCTTTGAATGGTGCTGATTAGTTTGAAGGCTAGAAGGCTTATGTTGGTGTAAAGAGCTTGAGTAAAACCATGGGCATCATTTATAGGTAAAACAGATTCCAAAATCTCCCAAACACTCAAAGCTATTGCATTACTCTCGCCATCTCCAGATCCCTTCACTCCTCTGCACTCAAACTAGTAATTCCTTTCTTTGCTTTAGAAAATCAACCACTTCAATTCTTTATTCCTTACTTTATTCTAAAGATCACATACTACAGGGCCATTTCCATCTAAAGGTATCAAGGTCTTGGAGTCATACTGAAAAAGCAAAGACGGAAGTGTAAGTGATGTTTCAGAAAGGTGACGCCTATAGTCAAGGGCAAGCCTTTAGAAATGAAAAATGGATCACTGCCGAAGGAGATGCTGATGCTTTCCTTTACAACTTCTCCCAATCACCAAAATCTATAAGAGAGCCTCCATCTCCAAATGCCTTAATGGGTACTCATTCAACAGGGTTTTTTTTTTGTTTTTCCTGGTTTAAAAAATCTACCGGTCCAGAACGTTGTTTCTCATTTTATTCAAAAAATCACACCAATCCATGGTATACTGATAAAGGAAAGGGACGACCGAGTAAAGCTTCAGTTGCACAGGTATAATCCAGCTAAATTAACTTGTTAACATGAAATTTTCACTTATGTAGAAACAATAATGAGTCATGCCTTCCCTTTTTCATGGGCTGGGAATTCTACATTATCTGTCAGTGAAACCAATCAGAAGAAGCAAATGCCTTTAATGGAGGGTAAGCCCCTAGTGGTAGTGAATGTGGACCCCAACATTAAGCATATTACTATCAAAGAGAGGTTGATGCTTTATTCATTGGTAAAACAATTCCATACTGTCCCAAACACTCCAGGTATCAAAAACTCCAAACGTGGACTTCCTTGCTCTGTTTTAAAAAATCAATCAAAGAATCTCCAGCAGCTGCATACCAGGATTTTGCAAACATCCAATTTTCTATACTAAATTTCACAGTTCTACAGGATGAAGATTTGTCTTTACATTCAAATTCTACAGAGAGGGGTGCTGGGGAAGAAGATGACGCTGTGGAGGTTGAGGTAGACTGTGATGGGGCTGCTGAAGTGGAGGTTCTATTGGATGATATCAGTCCTATTCTAACTGAATGGACAACAAGGCTATTGCAAAAGTTAGATGTTAACTCCAATTCAAATTCCCATCTGTTAGATGACTGCATACCTTTTCCAGAAGTTATGATAGCCAGCTGTTCCAAAACTTATTGCCTAAAGACATGTCTTTTCTAACTTTCTTTTCATAAAAAATTCAGCTGGGAATGGGGTTTTCTTATTCCCTTGAGCAAATCTTTCCTGATCAGACCTGAGAAATCCCTGACACAATCCTTCCATATTTAGTCAAGATCCTACCTAGTCCCACAATTCCCAGTTTGTCATGTTTTTTCAATCTTGCAGGCCAAACTCAGTTTAATTGTCACTTGTCAGGAATTATCAGCAGCAATATATATATGTACCAGTCTATAACAAATGTTTTCATACAACAAATTCACAATTAAGTACATGTTTTTCTTGGCTATGTATTATGAAAAGGAAAACAGAAAACAAACAGGAATTGTGTATTCTAGCACATTATCATCATGTTTTTTCTAACGACAACAATATCCACACAAGCTGTAAAGGAAATCTAGCAAACACATCAGCAACCTGAAAATTAAGCTTCTTTTACTCCAATTCGGTCGAAAATTGTCGGAATGTTCTCCTCAGTCAGCTTCATTTAGATTCATAGTCTATGACAGTCTCAAATGCCCCAACCAGTGCCTTCACCTTGTTCTTTCTCTCCTCGAGTAGCTTATTCTTTGTCTCTTCGATCACATCATTGTATGCAGCATGAGATTCCTTCTTATTACCTTGTACCACTTGCTTCTTTTGTTCTTCATCGGCATTATTCACTACTTGATCTTGTTCTTCCTGGGGCTTAAGCTCCTCACTTCCTCCATTACCTTTTTTCGTGTCTTCTTCCTTCTTCTCTTCACCCACAGGTTCTTCGGGCGAAACCTTAGTTTCATTACCGTTCTCTTCCATATTCACTTGATCATCAGCCTCAACTTTAGCCTCATCTGCAATACCCTCTTCAGGGTTAGCATTAGTTTTGATGCTTTCCTCTAGTTTGCCATCATTCTCCTCTCCTTCATGCTGGTTTTCGTTTTCTTGATGTACCTCAGTTTCTGTTTCTTTAACTGATTCTGCTAATGCGGAGACATTACTTTCTCCATCAGCAACTGTAGGAATGATAGAACCCTCGAGCTTCTCATCTTCAGTATCATTTTTAACTTGAGTTTCTTCAGCATCAATATGTTCCTCCTTATTTTTGGCCTTTGGCGAATCAGAAGGAACTTGCTTCTGGCTCACAACATTCAGTATCTCTTCACTTTCACGAGCCAAAAAAGATTCTTCATTGCCTTCTTGCATAGCTTCAAGTTCCAGATTCTGATTTACATCATCACTAATTGCCTCTTTCGGCAAAACAGGAGCATTACTCACTTTCTTGGCAGAGGGACTAATGCTCCTCCTCATGGTCCTTGAAGGCAGTGGCTGAGATTTTCCTGGCCTAAGTGTTGTGGGATTCCTGTCCAAGACAGCTTTTGGTGAAGTAACATTTTTTGATGAAAAAGATGAAGATCGGACCACACCGATTAATCTGTCCCGACCTGGCCTCTCTTTAGGATCTGAAGAGGGGTGTGATTTTTGTACATAATGAAGAGATGGAGGCTTATCAAAGGATCTTCTTCTAAGAAGAGCAGGCTTTTGGGATGTGTCTTCATGGCCAGTTTTCTTAACTTTTTTTAAGGACTCAGGTCTTGAACTAAATGTAGGCTTGAGGTAGTTTGGGATTGGTTTTCCTGATGGGGTGCTGGAATTATCCTTATTAGTGGAGCCTGACGAAGGGCTGGCTGGTCTTGAACTTCCTTGCCTGCGAGTACTTGTGTGAGGATGTGAAGATGGTGTCACCTTCTTCTCCCTCTTCAGGGTACTATTGCTTGCAGTTGTTGCCATATATTTTCGAGTTTGTCAGCCCAAAAATTCTCAACGATCCTGCATTATCAAATGAATCCACAATGTGTATGAATTGCTCAATTTCTAATCTCAGTATGGATAAAACTTCTTGTCATGTTTCTACATTTTGGTTTGCAATTTTGTTGCATCGATCTATGATGCCATTTCCAATTTACAAGCCAAATTCTACAACATTCTCCATTCATATGCTAAAAAATCATAATGTTAGTTTCTAATTTCCTCCATTTCCATCCATTTGCAAACATTCATTCATTAACATAAACTAGTTGTCTTAAATTATTGCATATTCTCTTTGTCGTTGCCGTTGCTCATGTGGTTGACCAACGTTTCATTTATGTCCTATACGATAAAGGGCTACATTCAAATGAAAGGAAGTAAATGTTTCTGAAGGTAAAATGACTGATCTTATTTCCCAGCAAAAAAAAGATTAACAAACTTGAAAACTTCATCAATTATGGAACAAAAGAAAGGGATAATATGGTGGCATAATATTTTATCAAACACTTTATTTTACACCATATAGAAAACTTTGCCAGAACGAAAAGGAATTCTTCGTTTGTTTCTTGTAAAACAAACAACTTGTAAACCAAAAAGCAACAGAAATACAATAAAGATTGACATTACAAGCAAAGAGAAAGGGGGTGGAGATGGCTTGAAATTCATGTAACATACCTTGATCAAGGCAAGGAAATGGGGGCATAGGAGGAGTAATGTCGTTATATTGCTATGCCATGAGAAAGAAAAAGAAGTGCGTATAAGAAAGAAAGGAGAGGAAATATGGTTAAGGGGATGGATAAAGGAGAGTGAATTGCGCAAAACAAAAGGAGAAATGGTGGTGGCTTTGGTTGTAGAGATAATGGAAGGCCATGAAATGAAATGATCAGAATTGAAAGATCATCAACGTCAAGCAACCGAGACATGTGGAGGAGGGAATGTTGACCTTTTCAATGCTTAACAACTATATATATAAATTCTCTTCTTTGGTACTCACGTCTACGTGACAACTTCTTAGTTGAAATTAAGTTCTTATAATTAAAGGAAAAATAATCAAGTGTAGGCAGTTTAATTATAAGGTATGGTAGCTAAAACACATAATCTAGATCATATCATAATCAAAATCATATTATTTAAAACATAAAAGATTGTGGCTCGTTGAAAATGATGATCGCATTCGTTCTTCTCTTAATGTTTTGGGCATAATAAGTGTATTTCCCACCTTACTATCTTGGTTAATTCAAGAAAGGTTGAAAAAAACAAAAAATTACGAATATGTTAGCCAAATATGGATTGCCCGTCTAAAATTTAATAGGAAAGAGTTTAGTCTTAGTTTACTCGAAAGTTGGTTAAAGAATATAAATATTTAAAAATAAAATTTAGAAAGAAAGTCTAACAATAGGTATCTTATTAAGTATTGAAAAAAAAATGTTAATGAATCCTATCTATGTATTGTACAACAAAAATAAAAAACAGCTTCGGGCTAGCTACTTATAGGAAATAATATTTTTTGTTAGTATTTTATTTTTCTACTTTATGCATGGTCGGTTATGAGCTAGATATATTTATGGTTTTTTTATTAGATAATAAGTAGTCATTGCTCTATTTGAAAATCTTAATCTATTTCATTAGGAGTTTAGGCTTCCTTGTCCTCCCAAATGTGGGTTAGGTTGGTTTGTCCTCCCTTGTTCTCATTTTTTTATTAATAAATTATCGGAGTATCGTCCATGTTCCCTTAAAACATAAAAAAAATAAATCTAAAAAACACCAATCATCTATATAAGTAGTTTTAATTTTCGAAATTTTAGAATTTTTTCATTCATTTTTTATCCTAAATTCCTTTCGGAATGTATTTTTTTTCAAAAAAAAAAAAAAAAAAACGATGCAATCTGCTAGTGAAATTAACATTTTCTATAAAGAAAATCTAAAAAAAGAGCAAAATTGAGAAATTAAAATTGTTTAGAGATTTTTTTTTTCTGAAGAAGAAGAAGAAGAAGAAGAGTCTAATTCAAGTCAAGAAGGTGGTCTATTAACAAATGATGAATTTTGATAAAGTAGTTTAATTATGTGATGGCCTCTTAGCCCACGAATTGGTCTCTAATGATATTAGATAAAGACTCTTATGAATAACAGCACTATTTGTTATTGTGGAAGAGAGTGACCTCATTTGGATTAGATCAGCCTGGCCCTGAAATTGTCTACACATTGCAAATGGATCGAGTTCACTTTTTTTTTGTTTTATTATCTCCACTCCTTCCTTCTCTTTTCCTTCTTTATTTGATAGAGAAATCGAGAAATTTTATAATACATCGGGAGTAACTAGTGGTATATATAATAATTACTCTATGAGTTCACTTTGAAGAGAGAGATAGACACATAAAAAATATAAGTAAAATTACATTCATACCTACCAAAAGTGATTAGAAGATTTTCACGTTTTTTCGGGGTTTTTTTTATTTTTTCTCTCTCTTTTTTTATGTCTATCTCTCTTTTCAAAATGAACTCATGAAATAATTACTATACATGTCACTAGTTATTCCCAAGTATTATAAAATTACTCAGAGAAATCTACCTACTTATACAATTGGCTGGATGTGTTTTTTCGTAAACCAAGGACGGTCCAATGTTTTTTTCCCTAAAAACACAGCCAAAAAGGGAAAGGGACAGCTTCTTTTTTGTCTAAGTGCATTTGGCAATTCATGGTTTTGGGTCATCAATCTTTGTGAAAATCAAGATCACCTGAAAAAAAGTCTAAATCTTCTTTTTTATTTTTTTTGGCAAACCTCAAATATAGTACAATTTTTTTATTTTTTATTTTTTTGGTTTAGTTTACATGTTCAGCGAAACTTGAATTTTTCGGACGATTTTAAATAGAGATGTTTAGAAAAAAATTAACAAGTTCCTTTAGTATTAAAAAAACAAATAACATCAAGAACAACTTCTTTGTCTAATTCATCTTTGGCAATTCATGGTGTTTTATTTATTATTAAAGATAGTAATTTAATTGATTACATAAACCAAACAAATACATCAAAATTTTTGTGATAAAATAATACCAAATACTAAAAAAGAAATTGTAACTTGTTACATTAAAATAATTAAACAAAAAAATTTTACAATAATGATGCTTCAGATAGCAAATAATTTTCTCTTAAACATTATTAAAAGCTCACTAAAACTTTTTGATTAGGACTGTCCAAGATGGAATATTTTCTAGACATCATGCACACAATTAAATTTAACACTATTATAGATTAATGAAAAAATAATTTGTATTATAAGCTTTATTGACAAAAAATCTAAACCATCCAAAATTATCAAAAAATATCATCTAACAAAAAATATCCACCATAACCCAACAAAGTGACATCAAAATCACCCACGACCACTAGGGGTTTTTCTAGAAGAGAACTAAAAAGAAAGTGGAAATGACAGATTCCACTTTACAAGTCGGCAATTCTAAAAAAAAATATATATATATATATATATATATATATACATCCAATAAAAATCTAAATATTCATTATTATTATTATTATTATTTCCAATAAAGGCAAACATCCTTATTATAGTTGTAATAATAACTAACAAACTATTGGCAATTGCATCCTTACACACAATCTCTTAGTTAATTTATTGGTTCAAATTTGTCAACTAGTACACTTTTCTTTCTTTCTTTCTTAGAACATAACAAAAAGTACAACAAAGACATGCTTTGAAACCCAAAAAAAAGAGGTTGGTGTTGTTGAACAGGTCACCCTCTTGCTTTTCCACTTTGGAACACCAAACTCAGGATTGGATTAGGCAGCCAATGTTGGCTCTGGTAAAGCCCCTTTAAACCCCACTTCTGCTGCTGTTGTTGTTGTTGAAGGATTTAGTGCCCATTTCGTGACCATGTTTTTTTTTTTTTTTTGGGTGAAATTTACTTCTTCTTTTTTTATACTATTTAGTATGGATTATTTTAACTCTTATAAATTAGGTATGCAACAAAATAAATCATATATTATCAAATGTTGAAATAAATAAATCCTTTCATCCATCTTCATTAATTACATGTGATCATATGATTGATCCGTTAGATGAAAAAACTAATAGTATATAGTTTTTCTGCTGCTGTTGTTGTTGAAGGATTTAGTGCCCATTTGGTAGCTTTTTTTTTTTTTTTTTGGGTGAAATTTACTTTTGTTTTTATACTATTTAGTATGGATTATTTTAACTCTTATAAATTAGGTATGTAACAAAATAAATCATATATTATCAAATGTTGAAACAAATAGCTCATTTCATCCATCTTCGTTAATTACATGTGATCATATGATTGGTTAGACGTTAGATGAAAAAACTAATAGTATATAGTTTGCTTTATACCATATATTGATAGATGTATTAAAATGAACAATATTAAATAAAACAAGGAATTTTACTTATTTTTCTTTTCCATAAAATGCATTATAAAGATTGCTTAGTAAAATTGTCAAAAATATTTTAAAAGTTATTTGAAAATCGAAAGTAATAAATAAATAAATAAATCATATACTACTTATGTATTAGGTACATATTTTTTCTTTCTTTCCTTTTGGGTTATGGACTTATGGTAAAGCCCCTTTAAACCCCACTTTTGCTGCCCTTGTTCTTGAAGGATTTAGTACCCATTTCGTAGCCATGGTTTTTTTTATATATATATTAAGCAAAATTCATTATTTATTTTTGTATTATCTATTTTAACCATCAACTTAGATATAGTACAAAACAAATCTTGTGATATTGGAACAAATAAGTCATTTCATCCACTTTCGTTAACCACGTATCATCATATAATTGGACAGAATTTTAAAATAAATTAATCTTTTCATCTCGCTTTTGCTATCCATGTATCGTATAATTGATTAAACATTGTATGAAAGATTTGCTAGTACATAATTTATTTTATATCATATATAAATAATTAAATTAAAATAAATAATATTGGATAATATAATAACACT